ATCGAACTTACATCCGAGAGACCTAGAATTCAAGCATCGATCAGTCACTGGCCGAAGTTGATAAAAGAATGTCACTCTGTGGTAAAGAAACAAGGGACTACACGCTTCGTTCGCCAAATGACTCTAGACTCTGCATTTAAAAAAAATAATATGGCACTCCCAGATGGCAGGGAAACGCAGGTCAGCACTGCACCATCAACACCATGATGGCCCAATCATGGTAAATGATGATAAATTATGTAAATAATTTAAGCCCAACATTCCAACGGTGACTTTTTTCTTTGACGTTCTTGATTCTGTAGCCTTTGTTACAACTGAGGGTGCCAAATGAGCATTGATGGTCATGGGCCATGGATTTAGAATTAGCTCAGGCCCATCTGCTGACCCAGAATCGTAAACATTAAATCTAAGTGAACTTTTTCCGAAACTTAGTTTTCATTACACTCCATGGTTATTCTTCCACTATTCCCGTACGAATAGCTGTCGGCATGACACGAGGTTCTGCTTTCATTGTTTTTTAGTCCAGCATTTCCGCTTCTAGCACAGAAATCCTCATCACCGACATTTTACAAGTCAGTGTATGATACAATGTACGTAGACTTGGATAATAAAGTACAAAAAAATTATAATATCGTTAGTAGTGTAAAAGACGGTGCAAATGAACTTCAGAACAATAGAAGAATAAGCCCGATCTAAGTTAGAGAATCGTTGGATAAGACGAAAGGCTCACGTCTGGCGGATTTCCGATCAGAGCACATGTCCTGGTGTTGTTTTTGCGCACCCTTCCGTTGTTCAGCGAAAATTTACGTCGATTGGTTAAGAGGTAGGCAGAGCCTGTATTTTTCACAGTCAACGCTGCTTATCCCTTGCCATTGAGATCGATTTACATTCTGTGTAATACTTTGTATGATTCCTCCTAACTTGCCTCTAGGTGTTCTTGTATTAAGGGAATAAAGCGTGTACCTTTTATCGCACCAGTAAGTCATTCGTATCGAAAAGGTAAAGTGACTAAAGAGAGACTGTTGGATCGGTTTCGACGTGGGATTGAAAACGCCACGGTTAATCTCCAAGTGATGTTCAGTGTCTTTTGATGCATGGACATGTTTTTTGAGATGATGTTGGTTGTTGGAACTGTGGTTATGTTCTTGATTTGCAGGTGAGACTCAGCCATGAACCTGTTTGTTTCCTTCAACCGTGGATGTTAGCCTTATTAGTTATCCTCGTTTTTAATATCTTCGAAAATTCCTCCATCATAAGTATGCTAGTTTGTTGACGATTGGTGATTTTTCCAGTCTGCCTTGTAATCACCAGCGCATTACTTATGTGTATCTGGATTTTGGACATTCGGTCGTTGTAGCTGGTGTGTTCAATGTACGATTTTCCTTCTTTTCACGTGTGATTTGTCGAATATTCGCCTCAGACCTATCAAACGTCAGCAATGAAATTGCACCGCAGACTTTCATACGACCGGCATCAACGGAAATTCGACATATCGTCCGCCGAAGACATGACTGATGGTCAGGATTGCAGATTTTTGTTATGGTCGACCTTCTGTCCGTGCAGAATTTCCGTAACGAACAGCGGGAACGAAGTTTGTGCCTTGCTGAACATGCTATAGTTCACTAATGCGTCTCTGTTGATCTTCCAACGTTCATGGCTAGAAGAAATGTCGATAACTCACTTTACCGTAGGTTGAGGTTATGTGATGTCATTTCTTTCATCCCAACATGTTCATTTTTGCACTGTAGGCAAGTTTTAACACACAACTGTTGTTAATTGGTTGCATTTTACGTTTCGCCAGATTGTAGGGCATCGTGGTTAAAATTCGTTTCAAAAACAACTGCGTTCGTTTCTGTCTGAAGGTGCCAGAATGGCTTAGCAGTCGTAACATGTCTTCAACGTTCATCGTCATGAAGCTCAATTTTCTTTAAGCTGTTTACAGATACTAGAAAAAATGCTGTATTTGACCGCTGACTGTTACATGGTTTGCTTTATGACACGGTAACCTTTGCAAGGTTAATCTATATTTTTCAAGAAGTTAAGGTAAAACTTCCTATCGGCGTATGATTAGTTTCGTCTCATATAAATCACTAAAGAGTGAACTGTATCTCAGTGCTACAGGACAGACGCATCACGTTAATCACCACTGTTCATCGACTGTTTGTGACGGTTTTCGTGCTTTCTTCTCAGTTCAGAAAACTAATTATTACGTATAATAAATAAATATAAATTGATGCTATTCTGCTATTTCCATTGACAGCAACCACTTCGACTGATCAGCTTACTCTTCAGCTCCCTGTCAGTAGTCGAGTAGGTCAAATAGGGTCACTTTGCTTTGTGCCAC